CCCACGGCTAAGTGTCGGTGTCTACTGGTCCGTGCTATACGGTTACAATAAAAGTATGATTTGTTAAGAACCACATGCGTTGGTGGAACAGAAATAACGCCGTCCACATCTGGATGGTACTGCATCTTGACACACCAACTGCTAGTAATAGTCCTGAGGAATGGCACTTACTACAATATACATTCCTCCTTTGGGCGCGTTGTGCTCGTCCACATAGCACTTTAAGTTATCGAACCGTTCTTCCTCCCCCTGCCCCTATCCTGCTTTTTCCCACCTTCTACCTATGCCTGGTCACGTACCAATGCGGCATGATATTAGGGACTGGAGATGACTGACTGCTTTACTCCTTTTATGACATAGCTACAGCACTATTTAGTAAAATATAACCTCACTATGCTATTCTACGTCGAGCAAGGTAGGATTGGTGGTTTGGTGAAAAAAATCACATAAGAACGTGATCGGCGACAAAATCTTCAATTTCAGCAACTAATAATGTACAATTCTAACTAATTCCCGGAGGAATATGACTAGCACAATAGTAAACAGAACACCGGTTCCCTTATTGAAACCTAAGTTCTAATATTTCTACGGGCGGGGATGAGAAAAAAGCCGCCCACCAACACAAAGTTCGGGCGAAAATAGAGGAAAGCAGTTCAGTAATACAGCAGACTTTTTCGGCACCATGGAAAAGTGCCACAAGTGATAGAAGCTTCAAAATTATTTAAATCAAGAGGCTCAGTCCCACACTTTTTGGACCACTGAAAGCCTAATCAGTTAACAACAGTCACAAAGGCGTACTAAAAACGCTTAGGAAGGCCTGAATCCTCCTTTTGCTACGATAAAGATACTGTTCGGAGCACAAATGAAGAGACTACTGTAGAAGAGCAATTGCAAGAGAAAACACCCAGTAAAGTCATTAGGACACGCAAATCAGCATTTAAAAAGAAAACCATTACCTCCTCATGGACAAGGAATAATTACTTCCGGCACTCCATTCAATAAGCAAGAACCCTAACGATAATAATGAAGATCAAATTTCAAAAGGCCGCATCTAACTAAAGTAATGGATACCCTACCTTAGCAGGATAAGCCGGTCACAAATCAAAAGCCTGTAATCAGTGGAAACGAAAAGCATTCGCCATATGGTACCAATAAACTGACTGCTTCAAACTAAGGGCACGGAACTTACGTGTTGGAGGAGTGCATAGTTTTCAGTGTGAAGGTCGCGCGCCTCCTGAAGGGCGTCCAACCACCGTTGCCGTTCTTCAGCGTTACGAGCTAGAATAAATGAATGAATTCGAGGCAATGGAACGAATAACTTAGTTAAGCAATAAAGGTGACAAGGATAGGCTGAGATATGATAATATTTAGATCAAATGCTACAACAGCACTAGTCCTATAATAAAGTTGTGCCAAAGAACAAACCATCACGACCAGAAAACAGACGTAAGCAGTCGGAATTTTTGCTGCAGAATCAGAAAAATGAATGTGTGGTATGTGCGCTAGAACGCTGCGGGTTAATTTTCGATGGGTGAAAAAGATCACACAGAATGACCGCATTCGACATTGAATCGCGTCAGTCCGGGATGCTACTTACCTTGGAAATGAAAAACTTTGGAATCAACGGTGATTGTAAATGTACTATCATCGTCATCGTTAATGCCCATTTGAGCATTCTTTAATTTGACGCAACCACGTCTTTCCCCCCGGATCATCTTATCCCGCGACTACAAGCAGAAGCAAAGCAGTCAGGGTTGGACAAACAGCTTTCGCACACATTCAGAACTTTAAAGTACAAATAATCACTGACCCTTGGGCGGAGGTTTAGAACCATTAGAGAAGTATTAATTTAGAATACGGATTCCTCAGAGCGAAAACAAAGCTCAACATACTGTGTAGTAGGAGAGGACTCCCATGGCTAAATCCAGGACGAACCACCGAAACTGCCAACCTTGAACAACATTGGTCCATTTGCTTAGAGGACCCTCCATCAATCACAGAGGTAAACGGGACCAAGCGGCATCTGACGTTTAACTGACCCGCCTTTTCCTGATTGGCCACAAAATCCTACATGCACAAACTAAGAATGCATCGATAATAATAGGAGAAATGCTGAATTTGGCATGATAAACATTTTTGACTTCATCTGCGGGGAACACCGGTCTGTTCGCTATCAATTTTTAAAAGACACCGCATAATGTTCTTCTACAATAAAAACTGCCCCAATCGCTTAACGCTTATTTTAAAATGAACGGAGTGATATTCTACCTTCGATTCTTACTAAATTACTTTATTTATTTTTAAAATGGGCTCGGCGGCATACCGCTCTTGAATAGGCGTGCATTACAGTAATTTCGACCTCTCTGGCTCAATGATATGCCAAATAGTTTGACGAGATTCACCATGGAAATGCATGTAGACGAAAAGTTGTTCAAAAAGGGCTCTAGATGTATGCCAAACCGGCTAAATTAAAGCACCTGGTCGCCGAATATGCACACTTTGGTAGCGCTCTTTTAACTCTTCCATGTGCTGCCAATAATGCTCCTGATATATACGCAGTTTATGAGCGAGGATTATTGTATGTCAAGGTGGTTTTTCCCGAGGCAACACGAATGTCTAGTTTGGCGTCCTGAGACTTCCCATAGGGTGAAAGAAGGCAGTAAGTGAGGCTGGACACATGTATTCCGAAGAAAACAGAGCAAAGTGCCCGAGTATGCGCCAGACAAGTCCTAAAGTGGCCGCCGAACGTCAGGTGTTCACATAAACAAAGCATTGCACCTAGGCTAACAGGAAAGGTTTTGTAAGCCTTATTTAAGTTGTGATTTCAAATATGAATTCGCAATTATAAATCAGATGACCGATCGGGTGAATAAAAGCCCTGTTGTGATGGCTTATAATCGCTGAATGACTGCTTTGATGTTATTTGTTCGAATCAGAGTTGCCCTGTGTAGCAGCTGGGGCATTGGTGCCCCAATCCTGTGACCCTGGTGCGACTGGGAAATAGAATTACTATGTTATCGACGTCCTCATATTTGAGGCAAATCCATTTCCTCTAGTAATGCAGACGTTTTTGACGGTCAAAACTTAGTAGCTTCTATCGACTTCGCAAAATCATTGTCAGATCGCCATTTTATTGCCTTTGTACTGATCTTTGGCCCTGATGTCGATAACCAAGGCATTTAGGCTGCTTTTCTAAATACGAGTCTCCCCATACTATCAAGTGGCGCTTTTGCCGACCGCTGATTGCGTAGTGTAAAAACAAGCAGGACTATTACTTCTCCATTATATAATCCATACACATATGTAGCAAATTCAAACACAATAAACTGGTTACAAATAAAGACTTCTAGATCAAAAGACAAACAATCGCTTCACATAATAGACTAGCTAGTTGTGCACCTCCTCGCATAGTTGAAATCGCGTTTCCTAATCTTGTCTGTTTAGTAGTAGAAAAAATTGCTATCAGAGTGACGGATAAGGTTCAAAAGCATGGGAATACAGCCTTCCACCAGGAGAACTGATAACGTCAACTGTGCCATCACCGTAATAACGGTCGAAGCTGCCGCGTTCAAAGCGATAATTAGTGGGTTGAGTCCTCCTTTCATTGCCATTTGTATGCCTTCGGTCAGATCGCATCCTTCGGGTTGAAAATAGTCGACGCGATGGATATGGTTGCCTCGCTGCTGGCGAATGAACACAACATCCAGAGCAATTGGTGCAGAGCGACTCCTTCTTGTTGTCTACAGCTAATTTCTCAAATCGAGCTATATTGTAGTCAAATGCTCTGGAGATAGACGATTCGTCAATTCCTTCTGGAGTCAGAAGACGTGGTGATGGAAATGATGGTGGTGGAGGGAGTTCGTGCTTTGGAGACCTTCGCAACTGCCCTCGAATTGCCACTCGCTGTCTTACCTCCTTTTCTGTCTCCTCTTCAATATCACCAGGTATCGACCGAGTTGACGAGTAGAGCTGATCAGGCGACCAGCTTCCCCGCATCATGTGGATCCTCCTCCGTCCACCTCCTATCTCTTGAGCTCGAACCTTCCAGGCTTCATCATCACCCACTGGAGCCCGTGGAACGCTGTACCGTTTGACAGGATAGATTTCGGGCTGATTCAAACTCACGCAGGAGGTCGATTTTCGGGTCTGGGAAATCCCTTTCCAATCGGAAAGATTCACCGACCGGTAGGGCTTCGTCCCATCTCTGTCAATGTGCTCTAAGTAAGAGTAGTTCAAACAGGGACTGGGTCTATCCTTCATCTGCTGCGGACTAGGCGATCTCATCCAACATTGGTCCGAACAATCTACAGTCAGTTGGTTTCGTTGATAGTCCGCGCCTTTTAGTTGTTTCGTATCATCTGGGGAGGTGGGGATTATGTAAGAGATACCATTATTATTTATCCTTTTGTATACATCACCTGTCTTGGTAAATATGCCGTCTGGCCAGTCATTACATCCCGCGGCGCGGTTCATGCTCCTTGGACTGGCGTTCCTCTTTATGCCTAAAAGTCTCCGCCTTGTTGGAGAATACTCATCGGAGCGCCTAAGAGAATGAGATGCTCCACAGCTAATCGACCACCTTTGCCCTTCTTGTGGCACTCCATGTTTTTCTAGCTCATACTTCCTCGAAAAGCCGTTTCTCCTTCTTAAAGAAGAGGGATCGTCGCATAAAGGTAATGATCTTAAAGAATCGGGTCTTTTAATGGAGACAGGCACGTCATCTTCATGGTGTTCATAGGCTGCACTTCGTGGACGACTTCTTAGGGGTTCCATTGAATAGCCTTTTTCTTCCCTTCTTGTAACTCGTGGCCTTTCCTTTAACACGGTGGGGTCATGAGGCAAATACATAGTTCGGGCTTCCTCAAATTTTCTTCTCAAATCATTAACTGATACGGTTCGCTGAGTTATCACTTCAACCGCTTCATCTCTTCCATTTAGTTGATGCTCCAAATCATACTGCATCGGAACAGCCATTGAGTTTTCTTCTTTGTCTTCCTGGCCCTTGGTTACCGTAAGATCCTCTGCCGATAGTAAAGTAAGTGAAGAGTCCTGCTGGGTAGGAAAGATGTTGCTCAATCCTGTAGAAGTGGTGCTTACTTCGGCCTCACGTTTCTCTGGCTTCTTGTCTTTTCTCCGCTCCTTTAATTGATTTTGGTGCGAGTAAAATAATTCCGTGGAACGTCGAAGCTGGAGATTTTGTAGATCCTCAAACTCGTGTGGCCTTGAAAAATGAGTTCTGATGCTTACGTGTGTAGTGAGGTACTTTTCTTGTGCTGCCGATGGCGCGTAGATTCGCCCGTTAAAAAGGCCTCCACTCAATTGGCTGGTGGAGGGTTGCAAACCAATAGGTGTAAGGAAGAGAGCGTGTGAACCGGAGAGTTGAAAGGTGGAGGTGTAGACTCGCGTAGGTAGGTGATGAGAGGGTGGGTTGGGATCCTGAGATGGGTCTTGAGGAGTTTCACAAAGGTCTGGCAGTGACTGTGAACGAGGTGGATGTAGAAGGGCTAGAAGACTGTCTGCTTGTGAGTCAGCGATGACAGTGCTCGGCTTTTCCAGCATATAGAGTTCTGAGGACAAAAAAATTTTAACGAAAAAGGTTAAAAGTGCCCTGTTACGAAACTTCAAATCACTATTGAGGTCGACTTTACTTAAAACTTGTTGATAAAAAGGTTTTAATTAAGTTCGCATCTGGAAGTTGCGTGCGAATGGGCAGGCATTTTGCGGAAGAGGGAATATGAGATGTCAGTTTTGGTCGAATTCCACACATTTTTATCTTCTATTCTGTTTTATGGGCAAAATAATTCCCTAGAAGTTAAGCCATCGGCTGACACTGATGGGCAGACAAAGTGGGCAGATGGGAAGATGGAAACGAAATAACTAATCAGTCGAAATGAAAGCAAAATAGTAATTTAATAAAAAACACTAACCCCATTTATTTAATTATTCCAGCGGTTTCAAATTGCGACCCCCAAAAAATGTGGTACCAGTTTTAATGGATTTGTGTTTTACATTTAAAAAAAATGGACCAAAGTGGAGAAGAAGTGTCACTTTACCTACTAACCCGCCTTCCTATGTAATCATATATGCTCGGCATCGGATCTAGAACCGTGGCAAAAGAAGGAGTTAATGGTGATGCGTTCGTCCTTATAGTATGGAAATTTGTCGGTGACGTTGGAATTGCTGAAAAGGTTTAAGTCCACTTCACCTAATTGCCACAGCAAAATCCGCCTTCTGTAGTTTCAAAATAAACTTTTTAATCCTTGAGCAATTGAGAAGATGGTAAATTTAGGGTGGCGGATGCATGTGCGTTCATGTGACGCTCCACATGTGGTTTGTGAAGTCTCAACACACCCTCTTAATGGAATTGCCAAGCAGGTGGAACGTACCGTTGCAGTTGAAACTTGGGAATGCAAGTGCCGGTTATCAAAATAGCAGCATTAAATTTTCAGTATGCATGCGTGTGAAGAAGCATCCGCCTTAACACCTGCCTCCAGGAACACAAGAGACCAGCCACTCTTACCCACGACCCCCTCACCCATTGGTCGGTCTGTGGTTGACACCTTGTCGGATTGGCTGGGGTGAGGTGAAGCCTTCGTTTGCCCATTCGTTAGCTGCGACTCTGTGAATGAGGCGACTTCTTAAAGACCTGTCACCTTGCCCTCATTTAGCGCGACGTAAGTGGCTGACCAACGGCATTACCTCTGTACATTTTGCAAACTTTTATAAGAATAGGGTAGGAAATAGTGGCAAAGGTCTCCCAACAACGCAGACCATAAAGACTCAATTTTTCATGTCCATAGGTGGAAAGAAGAAGATCTTCCAAAACCAATCTGAAAGGTGGCTCAAAGTGAAACACTACGAGGAGAAAGCAGACTGTTGATTTACTGAAGTCAACCAAAATTTGATTAACACGTCCAACTAAGGATTATGAACCCGTTGGATTCAAAGAGGTATATTTTAGGGGCGCAGTTCTTACCCTTTTCCAACTTTTATCCAAATGTTTACACCCACTGTAAAATGTTCTGCTGAACAAGAGTCCTGAAAACG